TTTGCTTGTTCCAGATCATCTTCTGTTTATAAAAGTTGATGTCCCTTTTCTTGGGTAGGCAATAGTCCTTCCGAAGATGTCCAGACTTTCCACAATTATAGCATTTGGGAGATTCATCAGCTGCAACTGCCTTTCCAGAGCTGCTTTAAACATGGGTCTTTTGTTTGTAGTTTGAGGAGGAAGTTCTCAGCCTATTTGAGGAGCTGTTCTTCTTCCCCCACTTCTTGGTTAGAAGTGCCATTTTCTTCTGTAGCTCTGCCATTTCATGCTCAAAGTCCATTTCTTCTTTGCTTTCCTCCTCTTCAGACTCAGAGACAACCTTCTTTTTCTTCTTCGGGACCTTTGCAGACCTTTTTGGTTGTGTCTCCATTACAAGAGCTAACGGATCAGCTGAATACTGTCCTTCTAGTTCTGCAGCATCACTTTAACATGATCTCAGATGGTCTCTTAAGGTACAGAGGTCCACTTCATCTAGGTCCAGGCCGGTTTTAGAATCTTTCACAGTCTTTCTCCACTCAAGATTCAGACTAGACATAAATCTAATATTCATTTCCATATTGGATTTGAATATTTTGATCTTTCTGAGTTCATTGATCAGTGTCATGAATCTCTTGTGGGTTGAAATGAGGGATTAATCAGGTAAGGCTTTAAATGAGTCATAGGCCGTCAGAGTACTGGCCTTCTTAGTCTTTAATCCAATGGTGGTTCCTTGCTGCAGCTTTGCAACTTCATCCCACATTTCCTTCGCAGTCTGCATACTTTCAATCTTAATGTAGATATCATTTGGGATGGCTTGCAGCAAGTATGTCTTGACAGTGAGATTAGCCTTCAATCTCTCGCTGTCCTCTGCTGTGTGATAGAGTATATCTAGAGAGAAGTGAGAGCTAGAGAGAGAAGTGCAATAATATGCTTCAATAGAATGAATTTGTAACCCCTATAACTACTCCCAAGGGGAGTATTTATAGAGAAAATACGGGCTGGGCTCCCAAGCCTCGGGCTTGGGAGGCCCATTTACAACTGGACCGCTACTGGGCCGAATACAAAGCCACTAATGGGCTGTACAAATGAGTAAGTGTAAAACCCGGTTCTGTGAGGTCTTCGTGGCCGACGAGGGCGTGGCCGACGAGGGCACGGCCGACGAGGGCGCGGCCGACGCGGGCACCCGGGTTCTTTGGATTCAGGACCATATTCTGAGTTGGTACCTTTCCGACCGACGGGGGTCCCTTGGCCGACGAGGGCACCACTCAGTGTCTTATGCTTTCTGTTCTTCTGAGTATGTGGGTCCTGGGGCTCAGACCCATATACTCCATCAGGAGTCCCCCACTCTCTAAGCTGAGACGTAGACGAGGTGAAGGAGAGTAGATTCCCGCGCTTTGGTGCTTTTGGCCGATGCGGGCACTCCTAGGCCGTTTAGCTGTTGTGGTATTGGCGTTGTCTCCATCTTGGTGATCTTGTTCCGTGCTTTGGCCGTTACCTGCTCCTCGCTGTGGATGGGGGGCCGTTGTTTCCTTGGTGTGTTCGTTTGGGGACGATGAGTGTCCTGCTTCGATGATGGCCGTCGAAGGCGCGTTTTCCCTTTCTTGGACGTTGGTGGTTGAGATTTACATTTGGGCCGATGAGGCCGTTGGGGTTGAACCTTGCTTCGAGGACGATGGGCGTCCTTTCCTTTGGGTGGGCGATGAGGGTGCTTGCGCACTCCTTTTGGTCTTCGCTGATTGGCTTTCATGTTCTTGGCCGAAGAGCCCATTATGATTAACTGTTGGCGGAGGACGATGGATGCCCTTGCCTTAGGTGGCCAGTTGGCCGTTGCTGATGATGTTATGTGCCTTTGGCCGACGCAGTGTGATACATGGACGATGTGGCCATGCTTTGTTGTTACATTTGTGTCCTTTGCATTTTTCCTTTTTGTTTTGTTGAGGCCGATGTAGTCCCCCAGTCCCCCACTGCTTCGGGCCGAAAAGAGTGAGGGGTGAAGGAGTTTCTTGAGTCCCTGGCCGAAGCGGCCTCTCCGTAGTCCCCCTGAATCCAACCCTTATGGCGATTCTCTGGCCAAGGTAACTCTGTGGGAGAACCCTTGTGCGCAGATCGCTTGTAAAGAGTTATCATCAAGGGTCGTTACGAAGAGTCGATGGCTGCAGGTTCTTTGTTCCTTTGGTTCTGTGGCCGTTACCGGTGTTCATGACGTTCCTGGCCGTTGTCTTCTTCTTATTGCTGGCCTTTGTGAAGCCGGTAAGCGTATAGGCCGTTGTGGGTGCCTTGCTAGCATTTGTGAAGCCGGCAAGCATATAGGCCGTTGTGGGCGCTTGCTGGCGCTTGTGAAGTCGGCAAGCATATAGGTCGTTGTGGGCGCTCGTTGTCCGTGTGATCCGTAGGCTTTTACTCCGCCGATAAGTTGGTTCACGAGCCCGGCCCATTTCTGAAGGTGTGGCACCTCATCGGCTGCTGGGAAGGTGACCGCTGAGGTGGCCATTGATATGGTGCCACGTGTAGTGACCGTTGGAGATTTGTCTATAAATACCCCCCCTCCTCCGAAGCGGTTCCTTGCTTGCATTCTTGAGATATCGAAGTGCTGCCTGAATTTCTTGAGAGAGAGAGTCTTCAAGGTGTTCTTCGAGTTCTTCATATCTTCAAGGTTAGTTCTTGACTTGTTCTTCAATTCCTTTGCATACTTTGCTTCCCTGAGCCTTGATCTAGTGTCAGTGGACAAAACGCCTTAGATCCGAATTAATTCCCCTTAGGCTCGTAATAGTTGTTATGATGAAGAGCTTAGACGAAGAATACTATCCGTACGACGACCATCCCTCCACTAGGTCCCTCGACTATGAGGTGCTTGAGGAGTTCGAGGAAGAGATAGAGCGTTTAAGTCCTTACAAGTCCGGAGAGCCGGTGGACGACGAAGGTGAGGATGAGGAGTCCGCCTCGTCTTCAAAAGGTGAGGACGCAGGTGCGTCCCGAGTGGTGGACGGGGCGTCCACTTCCGCTGTTATTCCGTGCCCGAGACCGGTGTCTGCCGTGAAGGGAGTAGATAAGCCGAAGAGAATAAGGAGGCCGAAGAGTGGGCTGGGCGTCTCCTACCTGGATCTCACAAATATTTTCCTGATCAAGCCGGAGAGCAGCGCGGCTGACTACTTAGTTGCCCAGATGTACGTGGGGCCGTTCGGGAGGGTTAGGGCACCCAGGCCGACGGACCATGTACTCCATCCGCCACCGGGATACTTCGGAGTATACCCGATGAGTTTCGCCAAGGGGCTGAGGTTTCCCCTTCATCCCTTCATCACTGAATATCTGGACATGGTGGGACTCCCTCCGGCCTTGCTGACCCCGAACAGCTACTCGTTGATGGTGGGGTTCTTGCTCCGCTGTGAGGAGTTGGGCTACACGCCGACGACGGCTCTGTTCATGAATCTTTATCAGATCGGCCGAGGAAGCCACAAGAATTGTGCGGCCTATGCTACTCTCCAACAGCTGCCGAAGAAGAGGAGCTTCACGGACTTGCCTTCGTCCATTCATGGGTGGAAGAGCAAGTTTGTTTTTTTATCCCTTGGTGAGAATGGCACTGAGTTTCCCTCTCTCGGCCACACCGGGAGGTTCAATCTGCACGACCCGCCGAGGAGTTCGATCTTGGACGCTCAGGTGGAGGCGTTCTTGGAAGGGGGGCCGAGGAGCGTGAAAGACTACATCACCGAATATAAGATGACCGCCCTCGGCTTCTTTAGGTACTATGTGTATGGCGACAAGGAGGACGATGTCCAACTTTGGCCGAGGATGACCACTACCTTCGAAGAGGCCGACGGCCCGGATTTGGGCATTCCTGCTGAGGCCAATGGTAATACTTTCTCTGGCTTCCTTCCTTTGTTTTTTGTTCTTTTGCCTTGCTAATCTGTTCATTTTCCTTTGTGTAGGCTTTGTTATGGATCGCCGTTCAATCATGGCCATAGCCAAGGCCAAGGCGGCCGAGGAGTTGGCTGCAAAGGCGGCCGAGGCGGCCAGGCGTGCCCGAAGCCTGCCCAGTCCAAGAAGAAGAGGCCTCCCACTGACGGCCAGAAGAAATTGACCGAGGCTGGCCTGAATCTTGCTAAGAAGACGAAGAGGGCACCGTCTCCTTCCCATGCCGATGAGGTCGGCACTCTGACCATCCCAAATGTGGACGATGGTGGTCCCGTTGTGGATCTTACCGCTGCTCCAAGCGACGCTGCCCAGTCGCTCCCTCTCGTCCAGGAGCCACGGACGAAGCGGGCCGGCAAGGAGATTGCCGCTGCCACCTACCAGAAAATGGTGGAGTACCCCGTCGGCGGGGGTGTCTTTGACGATGGCGTCCTCGGCCATGATGTGCTGGCCCAGGCCATGCCGGCCAAAGATCAGGCCTACCTCAAGAGGCTCGGGGACGTCAAGGTGTACGAAGGCGGGATGGACCTCATCGTCCAAGTAAGTTCCCTTCCCTTTTATTTGTTGTTTTTTCTCGTCGTCCGGGTGAAGTCATTGCATGAGTCTTTGTTTGCCTTTGTTGTGCAGGGTGCCTTCATGCTCATGGAGAGCCACAAGAGGCAACAACGGGAGATTGCTCGTCTGAAGGAGCTTGAGCAAAAGGCTGCCTCGGCCGATGAGGCGGTGGCCTGCTTGGATCGGCTCCGGGAGGATGCCAAGGCTCTGCAAAAGAGGGCCGATGAGGCAGCTGCAGCCAGGGACGATGCCCTGGCCAAACTTGAGGAGAGCCAGAGGGCGCTTTAGGCTGAACGGCGCAAAAATGATGAAGCCGTGAAGGCCAAAACTGAGGCCGAGGCTGCCGCTGTGAAGGTCGCTGATGAGGCCGTTCAGAAGTTCCTGGCCGAGGGATGGAAGGCCGACGAGCGGCTCCCCTGGTGTTATGAAGTGGTGGCCGCCAAGCTTGAAGATTGGGGAATGAACTTGTAATACCCAAGATTAATTTAAGAGGATTGATAGTACTACTCATACCAACAGAGGTGCATCTCCTTTTAAGGGAGCTCATCACCCAAGAACTCCAAAGTTAAGCGTGCTTGCACGGGAGTAGTCTTGGGATGGGTGACCCCCTGGGAAGTTTCTCAGGGCGCGCACGAGTGAGGACAAAGTGCGCGGAAAAGGCTAGTGGCGGTTTGTGAGGACAGTACTAGAGGTCAGAAGTAACTACCTCGGGCCCTACAGGACCGGGTTGTTACAGAACTCCCCCGCCGGCCAAGAGTACTTTGGCAGGGAGATGGCCTTGTACTACAACATGGGCCAAGAGCGGATGCAGAGGCTCCTGTGTCGGCGGCTGGCGCGTGCCCTCAAAGCCATGAACTATACCTCCGGGTGGGCGAGGCGGAACCTGAAGCTTCCCAAGCTGATGAAGGATCCCGAGGAGCAGGCCAAGCTTCCTCTTTCGGAGAGGGAGGCCCCAATCGAGAGTTCCGGCCTCGGCGAGCCGGATTATGACGAGTTTGACTTCCTGGATGATGCCACCAGTTCTGCAGCTGCCGCCGACCAGGAGACTGAGGCCGAGGAGGGAGCCGAAGATGCCGGAGAGCAAACCCTGGCTGGGCATGATGGAGGCGCCCAAGAGACTTGATCGGCTACTCCCCGTTCCCTATCTTGTAATTAATTATCTTCTATTTCTGCCCATCTGATGTAATGGCCGAAGCGCCCACCAATGTATTTAATTGTTTATGAATGAACGTTTTGCTGTCCTGCTCGGCTTTGAATGTCTTGTATGTTTATTCCCTTTTGCTATTTCAATTTTGAAATTTGTCTAAGTGTAAAAGTTACAACTTAGGTCACCCGCGAGTGTTTGCTACGTCCGTGAGGTAGGCCATTCAGTCTGGTGGCCTGGTCGGCCTGTCCGGTGTTTCTTCGCTGTCTTAACACTTGGGATTTATTCAAAAAATTTCTAAGTGTTTTAGATCCACTTAGGTGTTTTTCTTTCCGTCCCTGACTGAGGCGGGCAAGCTGAGGTGTCCGCTGCGTCCTGGCGTTGTCCCATTCTTCTTTTTTGTTAGAATTTTTCTAAGTGTCTAACTTCAAGTGGATGGGTGTTCTCATCGTCCTGGTATTGAATCTCTCCTCAGTGTTGACAAATGATTTGGGAAATTCCCTAAGTGTTGAACCAATGTCGTTGTGGTCGGCCAAGTGTTTTTCGTGGCCGTCGTGTTCCCTTGTTCCTGATCTGATCAGGAAGGTCGGCCTGGATCCTTGTGTTGTGGTCGATAGGGGTACCTTGAACTTAGTTTTTTGAACATAGAAATTTTTCTAAGTACACATGTAAGACACAGGTAGCTAACGGCCTGCGAGTATACAGGTACCCACCTCTTCTAGAGTTTCTTCATTTGAATACTTAGAACTTTTTCTAAGTATAAATGCAGGACATAGTTCCTTCCTTGTGGTACTGTTGTCGGCTGAGAGATGGTCCTACCTTCATCGGCCAAGGTCTGGCTTTGTGGACGATGAGGGTGCCTCTTGCCTTCCCCAAGAGTTTTTCTAAGTATCGGAATTCTCTTAAGGAACCTTTTTCCTCAGGAATTTTCTCTAAGTGTTTGGTAAATACTTGGACAAATCTTCCGCTTGGCCAACGGCCTGGGTTTTAGTGCCTGTAACGGCCATCCGGAATGCTGTGGCCGGTAGGGATTGTTGTTTGAATGCTTAATTCTTCCGCGGGTGTGACTGCCCGCTTCGTCCTGGTCATCCTCAGGATTGATACTGCCCGCTTCGTCCTGGTCATCTTTCAGGATTGTAATTCTTTATTTCATACTAAGTGTTGGTGCTTCAAAGAGCTGTGGCCGATGAAGGTTACCACTCGCGTGTCAACCAACCACTGGTTGGGGTTTTATAGGCGTATGCTTCGTTCTTGACGATTCCCTTATCTGTAATGGACGTGTGGCCATATCGTCCATGTCACCTGTTGGTGGTACTACACTTGTGTTCAACTGATATGTACTTAGCCAAGTTTGGCCTGAGTTGTGGGGATTTTATTTTTTCATTGCTCGAGGCCGGCAAGTGAGCGCGGTCCTCGGCTTCCCCCTTTTTTTTGTTCCCTATTTCAGGGGAGTATCCTTCTTTCAGGCTTCTGCCGAAGGGTGTGCTCGTCCTTCGGTCGGTTCGGACTTCGTTTATAACGTCCGTGATCTCAGGGCGGGTCCCGTCGCCTATTTATGACGCGGGCTAGACTTTTGGTCGGTTTCCAACGGCTGTCGTTGCCCATCCCTGAGTTTTGGGATTTTGTCACCTCGGCCATGATTTCAGGCCTGTCGTCCTGCGATCCGGCGCGTGGACGACGCGGTGAGCTTCCCGTTTCAAGACGTGGGCCGTTTGCGGGCCCCTCGTCCTGGGGACATCGTCGGCCATACCTGAGCGTTTCACTTCTAGGCTTACGGGGCCAGGACGATGTGCTCTCTCAGCTAGGCCTGAGCCCTTCGCTGATACAAAATACAATGGAGCGCCTGAGCTTGTTGCTCGTAGGCTGCAAATGCAAGGTGCCATGTCGGCCGTACCTGAGTCTTTCGCTCTAAGGTGGCCGATGAGGGCACCTGCTAATATTTTACTTTAAATTCCAAAGAAAAAATCAAGAGCATGATTTTATTCATAAGTGGCTCGAGGCCGAGGGTGGCGTTCAATCAGTAACCCGTTAAGGGGTGAGGGCTTCGCCGTCTGCACCTCCTTCGGATTACTGATAAAACTTCACCAGATGGTGTACATTCCACGTTCGTGGTACATTGGACCCATTCGGGCGTTTAAGCTTGTAGGTGCCGGGTTTGACCACGGCACTGACGATGTAGGCCCTTCGTACTTCAATGCTAGCTTGCCACCCTCTGTCGGCTGGCTTGCTTCCCTTCGACGGAGGACGTAGTCCCCCACTTGAAATTCCCGGGAACGTACCTTGGCGTCATAGTATGATTTTACTTGACGCCGGTAGTTCTCTGCTCGGACGTAAGCTTGCTCACGCCTCTCGTCGACCAGGTGCAGGTCAATCTTCATGTTTTCTTCGTTGGCGTCAGGCTCGTATTGTTCCACCCGCCGGCTGGGGATGGCAACTTCCGTGGGTGCCTTTGCCTCAAAGCCATAGCACAGGGCGAAAGGCGTTTCACCTGTCGCCCTCCTCGGCGTGGTTCTGTAGCACCACAGGATGTTGGGGAGCTCGTCGACCCAGCTACCCCCTGCGGCCTGGAGTTTCTTCTTCAGCCCCTCCATGATTGTCCTGTTGGCGTTCTCGACTTGCCCGTTGCCCTGAGGGCAGGCAACGGAGGAGAAACGATGCTTCACCCCAAACTCCCGGAGGAGCTCCTGAAAAGGGCTGCTTCGAATTGGGTACCGTTGTCTGATACAATCTCCTGGGGGACGCCGAAGCGTGTGATGATGTTCTTGTAAACAAATTTTTGGCACCTGGCCCCCGTGATGCTGGCCAGGGGTTCCGCCTCGACCCACTTGGTGAAGTAGTCGACGGCGACGATGATGTAGCGGTTGTTCCCGGTGGCTCTGGGCAAGGGGCCGATCAGGTCAATCCCCCATCTAGAAAATGGAATTGCGGTGCTGACGGGGGCGTAGTTGACGGCTGGCCGACCAGGGGCCTTCTGGAGCACCTGGCACGTGGTACACTTCCTGGCCAGGTCCGCACAGTCTCGCGCCATCGTCGGCCAGAAGAAGCCCTGGACGACGAGACGTCGGGACATGCTGAAAGGGCCCTGGTGCGAGGAGCAAACGCCACAATGAACTTCTTCCATGGCCACGTCGGCCTCATCCTGGTGCAGGCATCGGAGGAGAGTGCCATTATAGGACCGTTTGTAGAGTTTGCCATCCTCAATGGTGTAGCTTGGGGCCCTGAGTTTGGCAAGTTTGGCCCTCTCCTCGTCCGGGGGTAGCCCCCCCGTCGTGATGAAGGTGATGATGTCGGAGATCCAGTCCTCTGGTCGCTGTTGGATGCATAAGACGGGGCTGGCATGAATGCTAGACATGCTCAGCTCTTCGATGTTGGCTATCCTGGAGATGTGCTCTGGAGTGTCTGAGCTGAGCTTGGAGAGGGTGTCGGCTTCGGCGTTCTCGGCCCTTGGGATCTGAGTGATCTCGTGGGTTTCAAATGCTTTCAGTAACTCCTCTGCTGCCTGTTTGTACTGTCGCATCCGTCCCTCCTTTGTTTCGTACGATCCCTCCACCTAGCCCACTACCAGTTTGGAGTCACACTTGATTTTGAGGTGCTTGGCCTTGAGGCCGGCGGCGAGTCAGAGACCGCTGAGGAGGGCCTCATACTTGGCTTCGTTGTTGGATACCCTGAAGTTGAAGCGGATGGCATATTAAGCTCTGAATCCTTCAAGGGATATGAGGACGACGCCGCCACCCCATGATTTTGCGGCCGACGAGCCGTCTGTGAATAGGATCCATGTATCGTGCAGCTCCGGTCCGAGGTTGGCAACGGCCGTCTCCCTTGCTGTGCATTCAGTGACGAAGTCGGCCAAGGCTTGCCCTTTGATACATGGCCTTGTCTTGATCTCAATTTAAAATTGGCCGAGGAAGATCGCCCATTTCACCATCCTTGAGGAGCTAGTGGGGCTCCTCATGAGTGCGCCGAGAGGCTGCTGGGTTAGCACATGGACGGCGTGGGCTTGGAAGTAGTGCCCCAGCTTCTTCACCGTGTGGACGATGGCTAGCACCGTCTTCTCAATGGGGGAGTACCTGAGCTCGGCCTCCCTAAGCGTTTTGCTGATGTAGAAGATGGCCTTCTGCACCCCTTCGTCCTCACGGATGAGCACGGAGCTGATGGCCGACGTGCTCACCCCTAAGTACAAGAAGAGGGTTTCGCCGGCTTTGGGCTTGGAGAGCACGGGCGGGGACGATAGGTACCTCTTCAACTCTTCAAACGCTTCCTGGCACTCCGTCGTCCACTTGAAGCTGTTGGCTTTACGCATGATCTGAAAGAAGGGGAGTGCCCTCTCCGCTGACCTGGAGAGGAAACGGTTCAGGGCCGCCAGGCGCCCCGTCAGGCGCTGTACTTCCTTGACGTTGTGGGGCGGCTCCATGTTGATGATAACCTGTGTCTTCTCCGGGTTTATCTCGATCCCTCTCCGGCTTACCATGTAGCCGAGGAACTTGCCGCCTTGGACGCCGAAGGCGCACTTCTTGGGGTTGAGGTGGAGCCTGAACTCCTTCATGATTTCAAAAGATTTCCCGGAGGTCGTCGGCATGGGTGGAGGCCTGCCTGCTCTTGACAATCATGTCGTCGACGTATGCCTCCATCGTCCGGCCGAGGACTGCTCTGAAAATCTTGGCCACCATCCTAGTATACGTGGCGCCGGAATTTTTGAGTCCGAAGGCCATGACGAGGTAACAAAAGATTCCCTCTGGGGTCATGAATGTCGTCTTCTCAGCGTCATCTTCATGCATGGAGATTTGGTGGTACCCTCTGAAAGCGTCAAGGAACGACATCAACTCGCACCCCGCCATCTCGTCCACCAACTGATCAATGTTGGGGAGAGGGAACGGGTCCATGGGGCACGCCTTGTTCAGGTCAGTGTAGTCAACACACATCCTGATTGTTGGCGGTTTCTGGGCGAGGATGACGTTGGCCAGCCACGTCGGGTACTTCACCTCTTTAATGTGTTTGATTGAGAGGAGCATGTCGACCTCTCTTTTGACAAAGTCCCGCCTGTCGGCGGATAAGTAGCGCCGCTTCTGCTTGATGGGCGTGGAGGCCGGATCG